GACCACCGTAGTCTATACTACAGGTACAGACATTACAGAAGTTTTGACGGGTGCTCATATTGAACTCGTGAAATTTGCTCCAATACCTAAAGGTTCCTGCAGCGTGTTTCCGTACTGCACCGGGCCTTCGTTCGTCCAGTAGGTTATAAGGCCAGCTGATCTAACTCGCATTCCCCCTGGGGGCCGGGCTCGCGCTGAAGCAGTCTTTGTGCCATGCGCGAGGCCTGAGCCAGTTTGAGCTGCTACGCACAGGCCAAATGCGAACTCACCTGGGGCCTCTGCTTGCAGCTCGCCTGCCAATGTCTCTGCCCTTGCCTTGCGTACGAGAGCTTGCTCTCGTGCCTTTGACAGCTCCTGCTCACGAATGTAGTTCTGTCGGGGACAAACTGCAGCAAAACTCCGCTACTGCGCCGAGCATACCTCCTGCATTAAGTACTACGTATATGATATGATGCTAGAGCTAGCGCGGCTCGGAATGAACGCCCGTTCTTGTGCCTTAGCTTTGGGCAGTGTCTTCTTCGGGGTGGCCGTGGCGGGTTCCTTCAAAGCCTCCGGCAGAAACACGGAGACAACTTTGGAAGCGGTTGAGCGCTCGAGAAGCGGGGGCACCTTGGACTTGAGCATATCCAAGGACACCCAGACATCGGCCTCCTCCCCGTAGGCAATGTAGTGGACCTGAGGATGGGAGAGGAAGAGAGGCGAGGCGCTTCTTCTGGGCAAACGTTCGGCCTGCGCACCTTCACAGGGGCCTTCTTCCTCTTTGGGTTGATATTGGTGACGGCGGCCGGATAGTATTTACCTAGGACTGCTTCCAGCTTCGATCTCCCAGCCAGAGACCTAGCCTGATGCCATGACAACATGACACCGAGCCACCATCCTCCCAGTACATCGCATGCAGCCTCATGCCAACTTCGAGGTACTCCACCATCGTGTTCCTGCGAGCAGGAGGGGGCATGGGAGGTTGTGCTAGCGCGCCTCTTCGCGGCCGTTCCGCTGGATGTGCGGAAGCCTGCTCTGTCGAAAGAGATAGGGCCGGCGACCGCGGAGCTAGCTGCTGAAGAGCAGACCGTGCAAGACGCACGGGAGGCCCGGGAGCGAGAGCTGGAGCATGGTTTAAGGTCCGTCTTTTAATCTTCGCATTAACTTCTCCCTTGATTTTTGAAGCTCCTGCGCAATGGATTCTCGCAAAGCTGTGCAATGGATTCTTGCACAGCGGATTTGCATCGGACGGATGACCGTCGATCGGGCTCCCAACCGTTGGAGGATCAGGGACTTCGCAAGTATGGTTTCAAGTCCATCTGTCGGGGTTATGGAATGAATTCTTGAGGCCCGGTGCTGTCTTTGAGCACTCAGAGACGGTCCCAGGCCTTGCATGGGCACAATTCCGAGGCGGTAACTGAAGGATCCGAAATGCTCGGGGCTGCGGCCCATCAGTCCGCGACCTCCGTCTTTGCGAGGAAGCGGGCCTGAGCACACCTTCCAGCTCGAAACAACAGCACTGACGGTCCAGACCTCAGCAGCCAGGATCAGTAGAAGTAGAACGAGCGGCCACGGCAGGCCGTGAGGTGGGTGAGTGAGTGAGTGATGGAGGAACCATGCAAACAAGAGAGTCCCTAAGTCTAAGTCAAAGTAGAACGTAACAAGAGCCGGCATGTTGTTCAGTGGCGGGTGTGAGCTAACCACAAATACTTCAACACAGGCGGTGCACTCGAGTCGTAGGCTATGGATCACAGAAAAGGACTCGCCTGCTCAGACCCTTCCTAACACAATCCTCACAAGCCGTGCCACAATGTCGGTTGCTTTCATGCCCTCTCGTGGCTGCTTCGAGTTAACTGTTTCTTCAGGCACAGGCACACATGGTGACTGGATGGACGCGGATTATTCCACGCGCTCAGCGACGCTGCAGCGGACCACCGTCCTCGCACAGCCATCGGACATGTTGAATCAACAAGCATGCGGTCCTTGACCTGTGAGTTCCATCATGTGCATGATGAACGTCTGTCACAATCATGCCGGTACCAGCGGTCAACAGACAACAGAAGCCACCGTCACAAAGAAACAAACCAGAATCAACGTCAACGTGGACCTAACCACCACCATCATCATTACCCACGTCACCGTCAACAAAGTCAACAACATCGACATCATCGTTAACATTACCATCGTCAAGATCTCCACATCCGAATCAACGTGCGTTCTCGGTCTCACGACAGATACTCATAGATTCATGGCCACCTCAACAACGTTCCCACAATAAAACAATTTCAGGACCATCGCTAATTAAGTTGGCCGTCCGTCGGAGGCTCGGGCTTTGTGTGTTGAGTGATTCCGTTGAGCCTAGTCTTGTCCTTGTCCTTGTCCCTATCCGCTTCAGCAGCAGCAGCAGCAGCAGCAGCAGCAGCAGCATCAGTCCCGTCATCATCATCACCACCGTCGTCGGCGTCGGCGTCTTCATTGGCAGTGTCATCGTGATCGTCATGACGTTCACACCACGTTCCTCACAATCCAACCGCAAACCCGAGACGATAGCAGAGACAAAGAGCCAAAAGATAACCTCGAGAGAGTGGAAAACGCCCGGCAGGACTGCTTTAGATTGACCAGCTACCACAAGCACAACATGCCAAGACAGTTTTACGGAAAGCTCGGCTTCCCGTCGCAGCTCGCCTGTTCACGGACTTTGAGCAGCGGATTCTCCACTCGTGAGCACAAAGTGCCAGTCCAAAAGTCACCTGTCACAGCGCTCACTTCATGCACCTGCTAGCTGCACAAGTTTGAGGGGCTTCTTACCCACTGAAGACATGGGGCATGTCTCTCAATGCGAGAGGAAGCGGCGCCAAGCCAGCTCGATCCTGGCCAGCTCCTGGACCCGCCATGACCTGTGCATCATGCAGTGTGCAAGTCCATGGGACACCTGATCATCCTGATTAATGACTCGCTTGCGATGCGGCATGGCAAACGGCCTTCTGTGCCAAGCTCTGCCCAGGCTTAGTGTCTGACAGCTGTCGATAGTGTCGCCCACTAGACTTGAGTAGTCTTGCAAGCTTCTGTGTTGGGCCCCCACCTGGCATTCGCGGCTACCTGATGCATCAGAACAGCTGACGGCCGACGGAAAAAGTCTCTGTTGTTGAACATGGCAGGGTCTGTGGGCCGAGGCTGAGTTGAGTAGGCTCCAAGCCAGGCTGATATCAGAAATGCGCCGGCCTTAGCACAGCTGCGCGTCCATTGAAGCGACTCAGATCGGGCTCGTTTGGCCAACGTCTCAAAGAACTAGGGGCCTACAAGCAAGACTGGACGTTCGCACAATGCACCAAACAGACATCAGAAGGCAAGGCGCTTCCCACTCCCAGAAACGACGCAGCTTCGAGGCATCAAGGACTGGAAAGCCTGCCACGAAAGTACAGACATGATTGAAACCGTCTCAACACGTCGGTCAGTAGCAGAGAAACTTGCAGCACGTGCCAGAAAGTCTTGTGCAAACTTGGGTTGATCCCAAACGACACCATGATTGTCATTGCAATCTGAGTATTCTCCCGCATCTTCTCATCTGCCACCGCTACAAAGGCTTCATCTATCTGCTGGCCCTTGGATGCCATACCATAGTCGATCTTGTATCTTACAGCCTGAAGAGCACGGCTTCCATACCTTTGGGAGCTTCGCCTTTGCCATGCAAAGGTGGTAATGCTCCGGGGATACCTGGATAATAGCTGTAGTCACTATAGTTACTGGTAAAACCGTCTCAATCAATCTTGACCCCGACATGCACAACTGTGTCACAAAGTCCAGGGCTCCACTGGATCGTGCAGTCCATGATAGCGAACTCGTGCTATGCAGACTCCCAAGCAGAGCAGGCCAGCAGTAAAATTACTGATCTCCGATGTCCGACGTGTGCTGTTTTTTGCGCATGCACTGTGTTATTTGCTCTTCACTGCTGAACCCCCCATCTCCAGCGTCAAATTCGTCCCGACCCCCTTCCACCGTTTGCAACAGCATGCAACAGCTGTAGGAATGGAGTTTGCTTGCCACTTCAGCCGCGGTTTAGGGCTGGTGAGTCGGAGTCGTCGAAAGACGCCACTTGCCTGCTCTTGCTGTCAGGTGCAGTGAGACGGTATACTGTACCTTGCTGGACGGCCGGCGCAACCCAATCCAGCAATGCCGGGCTTCTTACCGGGCTGCTGTCAGTCAGACGGATGACAATCATAGTGGACCGTATCTAATGCAGCACCTCCCAGACCACCCCTCGTTTAATACATTTCTGCTCATGATATCAGAGACTAGGCGTAGAGTGCTGATGAGTGCTGATTGGTTTGTATTCTCTCAAAGGCAACCCGGTATAGGGTGATGCCGTCGGCACACGCTGTGGCAACGATGCCTGTGAGGGTGGGCAAGCCACAGGCGAGGAAAAGCAGCACATCCCCCCATTCTCAGCAAGACACACGCAGTGGGTCGCCTTCATGCCACGCGCCTTCATCTGCTCCTGAGATTCGCATGAGGACAGTGGGGCGGTGTGTAGCAATTCGCAAATCCGGACAGCTGAGCAGTTGAGGCACGGACAGCGACATAAACCATCTCCAAGGAGGGTATGATGAGCCTCGGCGCGAAGCCTGATTTCTCGAATCACCAGAAGTCAAGACCAAGAGGCAGGCCCGGAAAGTCCAATGACATCCACTTTCTCCTGCGATTTTGCTGCGCACGCATCTGTGCTACGAGATCTACTCGGTGATCGCATCTCTGCTGGCTCATGTGCGTCCTCGACAGCCTTCTCCAGGATGTTTTCGCAGGGCACCATTACACCCATGTCGATCACCTAGGTTCACCAACCAAGAGCCAGGCCTCACCTGGCTTCAGCAACCTCAGCACAGGCCTTGAAGTTGTTGCAGCCCAGGACAACTCCCACGATATTCTTGCCAATGTCGTACACATCTCCTGTCACCGTTGCCTGATCGAGCCAGCCAACATGGGCTGCAATGTCAAACCGGAAGATGCAGAGGCAAGGCTGGCCATCAGCACTTGGGCTGATCAGGGTCCTCGCCGGCAGCGACGGCCTCGAGAAACGGAAACCCTTTGTGCCAAGCTCGGAACCTGTCGTCTCAAGCCGATCTCAGACACGAACGGCTGCGCGCCTTTCGTCTTCCGTGAACGAGGTCAGATATGCCACAGCCGCACAGCCTGTCAGCATGTGTCGTCCCATCGACCACTGACGGCCAGAATGCATTGCAGACTCGATTTCAATCTCTGGCCACTTGGCCTTCTTCATGACCCACGCGCTCTTGATGGCCTGCAAGGTGCAGAGACTCGCGATATTGAGAGTGAAGCAAAGCCACAGGCCTGCGGCAAGAAAATCTTTCCGGATCCGAAAAGGTCTCCGATGATGCCCATGCCTGTCCAAAGTCCAAACACCACTCGGCCTTGTTGAAGGTGGTCTTTATGAGTTCAAGCTCCCTTGCTCTGCCCGCAAAGGATCGTAAAGGTTTCGTTCGCTGCCGGTACCCCGACAAATCGTGGGGCTTTCGGGTTGACGTCGGCAATGAAGATCTCGTACGAGGCTGCAGCGGATTGTGTCAACGTGAGCTGCTGGGGTCGGAGGAAGCCTTTGCATGCCACCCTGCTTTGAGTAGTCACTGCCGGCTGAGAAGGTGAGAAAAAGCTCCTGGAACTTCCAGTCGCGGTTTTCTTGCACCCCTGCTGAGCGGATCTCTCCCGCATGAGGGCGAGCCTTCCATCAGCGGCCCCTCGATGACACGCAGCGGGACTTGCAGTTCGGCCCGGGCCTGTCGCCGTCATGTCAATGTGCCAGGCGCAAGCCTGCAGATATAAAAGCGGACCTCCTCGGTATCCCGCTCAATGAACTTGTCGATACCGCTGATCAGCCTCTCCGGCACAATGCCACACGAGTCATGCTTGTGGGGGACGGGGACGTGGCATCTTGGCCAAGGCCGTTGCCCGTAGTGCAGACGCTCTGTGAATGTGCCATTTCGCCCATTTCGCCAGGCATCCTTTGCTTCTGGCTGGCTGCGAGGCGACTTGAGACTTGTGAAGCCTGCCTTGGCGGGAGCACCACCTGCAGCAGCGCCCGCAGTCGGGGCAGGCTTGCGGACAGCCTCTGGTGCGAAATGGCGTTCCGTGCGTCTTGTGAGACATCTTGGGACCCTTTATACCCTTTGAGACAGACAGCACGGAGTCGGCCTCTGCGTACTCCAGGAAGCGCTCGACCTGCAGGCACAAGGCCCAAGACAGCAAGACAGCACGTTCTGATCCGCAAATACCAGCTGGGCAGGCTGGTGTCTAGGCTTCCTGCGTGCGTGCCATCTGCAGGCTGCTTCAGGATCACCTGCGAGAAACAAATGATGCAGCCAGCTGAGATCAGCTGGAGTGAAGCCAACAGAAAGCACAAGGAGCCGCGCGCCTCTTCCGCCAGCTTGCGAGTGTTCTCGTCTATGGTGAATGGTGCTCAAAAAAGCCCAACAGCCTTGTATGGTATGGTCTTTGGGCCAAAAAGCCTTAAAATGGGCTTACAGAAGCCTCCGGCCTCTGAGTGGAGGACGTCGGTACAAACAGAGTCGAGGAAGTCGGCGTCGTGCGAAACCACCAGAAGTGTCCTGCTGAGACGATCATGAGACTTAGTCAGCACCCTAAACCACAGTTCTATAAGGGTCCTTTAAAGGGATCTATAGGGCTTCTAGAAGGAGGATCATGGGACTTGGTAAGTAAGGTCATAAGTACCTTAAGTGGGGCTAGAAGTACCTATACGTATACGTACCTTATTTCCGGACCTACTTACTAAGTCCCATGATCCTTGAAGTGGCCACATCGGAACAGGTAGCTCAAGCCGTTCTTCGGATTCCGTGTGGCGGGAAAGCCACGCAAACTGCCCCTTGCATCCGAAACACAGCCCTGATCCTACATCCCAAATCCGAAACTGTGAACCCTGAACTCCAGAAAATGTGGGTTGGAAGGGCTGGTTGCAGGCATTGCGAGACAGGCAAGGCGCACCTTGTGCACGAGTGCAAGGGCAGCGACGATGAGTCGTGAAAGGCACTATAAAACATGGCTGGTACATACATGAGCGCTGCGTCAGATGTCGCAGTTACAACGGCTGTGGCAATATTTGTGGCAAGGATATCGCTGAACTCTGAAACCAGGCAAGAAGTCAAGTTGTAGGTGACCAGGGGATCACATGTAGTATGTAATACAGCGCTGGTGGCAGCTTCAACATGCGCGGTTTGCCACAGCTGAAAGCTATGCAAATCACCTGCTGCAATCAAGACTTTTCCGAACCGCACCCCGGTCCTAAACCCAAGAAGACCTGAACCGTATATGTTCCACTCCTAAGCCAGATACATCAAACCCCACACCCTAAACCCGGCTCCTGACGACGGAAAGCTAGACATTTCAGAGCCCTCGAACCCAACGTGTAAACATCCTACCTATCATTGAAGCTGCCCGGCTTGCATCTCTGTGTTGTAGTTTTGGGAGCCCTTAAAAGTAAGGATGAATAGGTGCCTCTATAGAAACCAGCACGGATATGTTGAATATTCCCAAAGTGCCACCTAGATCTCGGCGCCCGACTTGGGGTATTCATGGAGATACTCGTTGAGACAAAGCCTCAGCAACCATTCCTAGACCCGATTCTCGCCGGGCCTCTTACAAAGCCGAAATGAATCAAAAAGCTTAAACCCTAAAGCCGCCCGCATCCGGCATTGCACTAATGCTACGTGCAAAAAACTCTTGACGAGGAATTCAGGATCTGGAGCCTGGCAGCTTAGGGTTTAGGGTTTCGGGTGTAGGGTTGAGGGTTTGGGGCTGTCTAGGGTTTCGGTTTTAGGGTTTGGGGTGTCAGGTTGAGAATGTGAGGGTTTTGGGATTCAGGGTTTGGCACCAAACCTAGAAATCAACCCCAAATCCTAAACCATCTACAACATGGAATACGGCTTAAACCTAAACCCTAAACCCTGAGGATCCAGTACATCAAAGATGGCGACTGACTGAAACTTCGAGCTTCCGCGGGCTACGGTAGCTACTTTATGCTCTACACTGCCTCTCTGAAGCCCGAGTGCCAACTGCAAGCCTTTTCCGTGTGTCGCAGGTGCGGCATTCAGGCATTACCATCCCACAAAGCCAGCCTACAGCCCAGAGACCTAAGTTTCTCGGAAAGCGCTTGGATAGCTTCTTGCTGAACTAGCTTGGGACGGATGCCCCGCTGAATCATAGCCTCCTTCCAGTCTTTGTTGAACTTTGCCAAGATCTCTCTTCGCAGTACTCTGGAAGGTGGCGGAAGCCACCTGGAAACCTCGCGAGCGTCTATATCTTCCAGGAATGTCCTACAAGCAGAGGTTTCCGCCATACTGCGAAGCAGCATCGGGTGGCCTCGAAAACTACGCCCGTAGAAGGAAGGCGTCGTCAATGTTGATGCAAACCTCCTCTGATTGTTCTGATAAATTGCTTCCGTGTCGAAGTAGTGGTCCTCGGATTCTGTCTGCCTGTACCTGGAGAAGAAGGTGTGCACCAATTTCTTCAAGTCCTCACGGCATGTCCGGACATCGAACGTGTAAAAAGCCTTCATACCTATCTCTTTCGTGAGGCTTTCAGACACAGTTAAAAGTATTTCCTTCTCTTCCGGACTGAGATCTGCGAAGCCTCCACGAGGCTCTTGCATGCCTGCTGCATCCGCCAGTTCCAAGCCATGCTCCGTGGCCTCCAAGTCCTGTGACAACGGTTGCCAGGATGCTTGTGACAAACTTTGCGAGGCAGAGGTCGATGTTCCAGCAGCGGTACTTTGAGAATAAATGCCCTCCTCCTCCTCTTCCTGCTTCTCCTCATCATCCTCCTCCTTCCATGCCAGCTCTTCCTCAAGGCTTTCTTCTTTAGGTTCAGCAAGATCCTCCTGTGCGTCAACGCTTTCCTCTTTAGGTTCAGGCTCCTCTTTTACAACCTCTTCCGCACCAACATCCTCCTCCTCCTCCACCTCCTGCTTGGTGTGCGGCTCTCCTTCTTGCTTCGCACCGAAACCCTCCTGCGATGGACGCTCTGGGCTTCCAAAGCTGCGGATGACCTGGGCAAGGCTCAAGCCTGTTTCCAAGCGTTGCCTCTTCTGAGGCTGCATGGCCGATGCACGCGCTGTGTGAACTATGGAACTGAGATGCTGCAGTGGTGGTGGCAGGAGGGGAGAGCCTGAAACACACAATGAACGCCAAGTACGAGCAGTCTTCGTTGCATTCGGGCTGGTTCCCTACATGCCATAGTTCTGAATATCTAGTGTAGAATCTAGTGTATATGCAAGCATGCGCAGACGTCCGAATGCCCCCGCGCTGCCGGAGTCTTGTTCACATGTGTTCGCTACCTGATGGAGCTGAGCCCGGGCATCACAAACTCCAGCCATTGCTCAACAAACACATGCGGGAAGGCTCCCAGAAAGACCAATCAATGGCAACACCCTGGTAAAAAAGAAGAACGACGCTCAATGGCTTTCGGAAATCCCCCTTTGAGTGTTCTTCAAAACAAGGCAGCCCTGAAGGCTCCCACCTCCTCAAAGCTCACGTTTCGGCCCTGCAGATGCAAGACACACGGAGACGGCACGCACAGGCAGGAGTGGGATGCCATTAACAACTAAACATATGCTCGGTGGCACTGAGCTCACTACTTCATGCTTTGAAAGATACTCCTCGGTCGCACTTGCCAAACCCCGCGTCGTCTTCGCAGACCTCAATCATTCGACACTCTGCCATCTGCCCCGGTTGCGATGCGAGCGCGTGGGCTCCGGCACTGCTGTTGAAGCCCCCTCCTCCGGCTCACAAACAATCCCAGATGCAAAGCACACGGACCAAAGGCACGGCCACATGAGCTTCGCACCAGCAAGGAGACCTACCCACAAGAATTACTGCCTGAATCTCCAGCAATCTCACAGCAATGCCAGGCAGCCCGTCCTTGCCTCTGCCTCTTCAGCGGGCACAGCCTAGACGCGGGCACACCGAATGAACGATGCTTCATGGTCACCAAGATCGCACGAAGCCCACAGGAACTGCTGCTGCAGCCTCCTCAGAAGAGCTGTTCTTGACCATCTTCAGTCGGACATCCTGCTCGCCTGCAACAGGTGCGGTGCCTGCAACAGGTGCGACAGGCGCCAATATGGATTGATTCGACCAGCGGCTCCTCCTTGGATCCAGAGCTCGCAGCGTTGCCGACATGCTGGCTGCGACTGGAATCACAAGAGAAGACAGCACATTGCCGGTGCAGTGCAGGCTGGCTTGCCTTGATCGTCCCTGCCGGGCCGGAGCCACCTGTTATCCAGGAGTCCACACTGAGACCCAAGAACCCCCATGCAACGCATCTTGACTCTGCGGTGTCGCCTGCACAGCCGTTCGGCATCTGCACTTCAAGCTCTTCTCGAGATGCCTGAAGCTCATGCTCCATGATTCTGAAGTCCACAACGCTTCGTGTGCGTGTGCATAGCTGCGGTGGAAGCGCGAGGCCGGTGCCATCCGGTGGCCCAGAGCGAAAGCCTTTCGTCGAAAAGGCCCCCCCCCCTGAAGGCCTCCTTCTCCTTCCCTCCTTTTTTTTAGGGAAAGCCGAAGAGAGAAGAGGCGCTTTGACACCTTCTTGTTTTAGGGAAACAGGCAAACAAGGGAAAGCCCCCGAAGCAGGTCGCGTCTTCTGCAACCGGGGGGTTCGGTTTCGAGTTGCATAAAAGAGAGCTGCACCACCAAACACCGAAAGACTCGCTTGCCTCTGCATCCTCGAACTCGCAGCTGAAGCCCCCCCACCTTAAGCGGTAGAGTTTCGAAGAATCGAAAAAGGGAAGGCTGGCTGCAGGAGTCGGGCCGCTGGCACAGAGGCTGTCGCAGTCGCCTGGCCTCGAAACCGGCGCAAGACGAGGGTAACAGAAGAAGCTTCGATAAAATCGCTTATAAGGATCCTGGGTCCATCTATAAGGATGGCCAGGCTGGTTCGGGAAGAACCCGGTAGAAGCATTGGGCAAAAGAGGCAAACGCCATCAAGTTGGCCATCACGGACACGAGGCGCGACTCTCTGCATGTCCCGCTTACAGAGCTGAGCCGAGCCTCGGCTCCCGGCAGGAGGTCTGCCCCACTTCTGAGGGTTCAGAGAAGTGTGGGGGGCGCCCCACGTGTCCCTGCCAGCCCCTCCCGCAAACCGCCCCCAACGACTCCTTGACTCCTTGCTACTGTCACTTCGCAATGCACTCCCATGCCAAGGGTGAAGGCTGCAAGTCATCGAGCAAGGCGGGCAGTTGTTCTGCTTCTCGAGATCGAGACGTCCTGGTAGTAGCCAAGCGGTTCTAGAGATCGCCTTTTTTGTTGCTTCGTGGAGCTATGTGGTTTCAAGTGAAATGCTGTGTGCAAACCCAGAAAATACGGGTGGCGGGACCACCTCCTTGGCGGGCTTGACTTCGGGCTCAGATTCATGCTGTGCGGGTCGTATGGTGGTCGCAAGATCAATGGTTGTGGAGGGGAAGCAGCTTTGGAAATGGAGTGCCGAGCAATGGCAAGTTCTGACGAGGATACAGTAGGGGCCCTTCAGCATGCTGGCCTGGGCAACACTTTGGGGGGTGTCGGGGAGTGGTGGCACGACACAGACATGATCGGGTTTGGCTCAGCAGTCGAGATCGAGAATCGTGGCAGGGGCGTGCGCCATGTCGAACATCGAAATGTGGCGGCGGGTCCAGGGCGACCCCGTGTTCTATTCAAGACACGGAGTCAGGGCAAGACCAGCTTACGGTGGCAGTGGCCAAGTCGGTGTATTTTGAACTGAAAACATGCGCAGCTAAGTGGAGCTAAGTGGGTTTCAACCGCTGATCATTCATCTTCCTTTCGCTGTGGGGGGTTGGGACCGGGCAAGGGGTGGATGATGAAACTGTGTCTTTCACGGTGGGGGCAGGGAGGGGGAAACATCAAACTTTCTGTTTCATGACGGTGGGCTGGGAGCCAAATGATTAAATCAAATCTTGTCTTTCACGGGGGTGTGAAAGATGTACATTTTGTTCTTTCACGGCGCGGGGCGGGGAGGGGGCGGGGTGAAACATAAAATGGGATCTTTCACGCCGGTGGGGCGGAACGTGTGGAACATGCAACATTATCTGTTACGGCTCGGGGTTGGGGGCGATGGAGGAGACTTACTTTCACGGCGGGGATTGGGTGGGGAGCGGAGTAAAAGATGAACTCCCCCTCTCCTCGCCCCCGCCTTCCCCATTTCACGGGTTCTCGATGAAGCTTCGTTGTTGACACACTCTGACCCCAGCTTGGCGAAGTAGGGAGGTTGCTGGACACTGTGTTGTGCACAACTTTGACATGCTTTGACAGTTGCATATACATCGACCAGCATGTGGACGCACGTCAACTGTTCTTCCTAGCTTTGACAACGGTACACCGACAAGCATAGACAGATTGAAGTCGACGGCCGTTGGCAACAGACTGGCTGAAGGACACTTGGGTGTCGGAGCGGAGGCATTCTTGACATGTACTAAGGTGTACTAGAGATGCGGATGAAAGATTGGCGAACAGTTCACAACATAAGCGCCTGCGGCTGGAGACAGCCACAGACTGAGGCGCCGGCCACGACACAGACACTCGATGAGACCTGAGGAAGTGGCTATCCCAGAATGACAAGACCGCTTCACAGGACACTTGGAGGCGGACCAAGCATGGAAAATGAAATCCAAAAGCAGGCTCTTTGCAGCCACTGTGAAAACGATAAACGCTGCGCTGCTGCGCCTCGGCGAGAGTTCAGTCCGGCAGAAAGCTGCTAAAGGCAAAGGCGACGCGCTGTGACTGAAACTTCGAGCTTTTTTTATAGCTAGGGTCGCTGCACTCTACACTGCTGAAGCCCGAGTGCCATCCGCAAGCATTTTCCGTGCGAAGAAGGAGTGTCGGCACGAATTCCGGCTGCCGCGGCATTCAGGCACAACCATCCCACAATGCCAGCCTACAGCCCAAAGACCTGAGTTTGTTTGCAAGCTCTTGGATAGCTTCTGGCAGAACACGCTTGGGATCGATGCCCCGCTCAAGCATGTCCTGCTTCCAGTCTTTGCTGAACATTTGCGTGATGTATCTTCGCAACACTCTCGAGGGTGGCGGAAGACTGCTGGCAGCCTCCCGAGCCTCTTCATTTTCCAGGAACGTCCTGCACGCAGACGCTTCGGCCATATGGCGATGTAGCACCGGCTCGCCCTCAAAGATGCCCGGGGGGAAGGAAGGCGTTTTCAACGTTGATTCAACAGGCAGACGGAAACGGAGGACCATTCCTACGAGACGCTGGAGCTCTTTCACAACAATCAGCGGAGGTTTAAATCAATATCGTTGGCTGGGATGTTTTCTGCACTGTTGCCGCCATGGCCTCAACAACCGCAGCCTCACAATCAGCAGGTGATTGCAAGTCCTCGGACAAGTCCTTGCAATCACCTGCTGATTGTGAGGCTGCGGTTGTTGAGGCCATGGCGGCAACAGTGCAGAAAACATCCCAGCCAACGATATTGATTTAAACCTCCGCTGATTGTTGTGAAAGAGCTCCACCGTCTCGTAGGAATGGTCCTCCGTTTCCGTCTGCCTGTACCTAGAAAAAAGGTATGCACCAATTTTTCAAGTTTTCGGGACTTGTCCGGGCATCAAAAGTGGTGAAGGACTTCATACCAATCTCGTTCCTGAGTTCTTCATATACGGTCAGCAGCTTATTCTTCTCTTCCGGCCTGAGATCTGCGAACCCTGCCTGAGGAACCTCCTCCTCCGCCTCCTCCTCCTTCCATGCCAGCTCTTCCTTAAGATCGTCCTGCGACTCCTGTGCATCTACTTGTTCCTCAGGCTGTAGCTCCTCTTTTGCCACTGCGCAGCTCTTCTTCAGCAACCTGCTTCGCATCGCAGGCCTCCTGCGATGGAGGGTCTGGAAGCCCAAAGCTGCGGATGACTTCGGCAAGGCTTAAGCCCGCTTCCACGCGTTGCCTCTTCTGAGGCTGCATGGCTGCAACGTCCGCGCTGCGTGAACTATTCTGGGCTTCACTTGAGCCCAAAGTTCACTGTCATTTGATCTCTAACACTGGGATCCAGTTCGGCTGTGGTGGTGGCAGGAGGGGCGAGTGACAAACTCTGAAATCAGAAAGTGAAGGCATTGTTCGTTGCATTCGGGCTGGCTCCCTACTTCTACTGAATAACTGCTGGATATGCAAGCAGGCACAGACGTCCGTATTCCCGTATTCTGTCGGAGTCGTGTTCGCCACCTGATCGAGCCGAGCTCGGGCATCCCAAACTCAGACCAAGGGGAAAGGACGGTTTCAGAGGAAATGTGAATTTGACAGCGGCCGGCTGAAAACTACAATAGCACATCGGCGGTCCGTCGTCATCCCATCGTCATCGTTATCACTGTCGTCTATACTTTCAGCACCATCGCCACCATCGCTGTCGCAACGTCGTTTCGGATCCTTTTGCACACAAAGGGTGCCTGCTGCAGCTCGAAAATCACATCAAACTACCGCAAACCGTCAGCCGCGCTTGCCAGCAACCCAACACGATGCCGGACATCTCAGGCACGAGCCCAACGTTGGCCTGCCACGTCGGTGAAGGCACCTGCACCCACGGAAGGGGCCTGCGGCCTGTGAAGCCCTCGACGACCGGAGACGAAACCAGGTTTTGCAAGCAGCGCTGGTGCGCTGTTTTCTCTTGGCGCTCGCCTTTACCTTTCAACTCTCCTGGGGGAGCTTGCAAAACTGTAATCCTTAAAACAAAACGTGGAGATGTGCGTTTCCTCGTTCTTGAAGTGGAGAGGAGAGGATCTTTAAGGAATGTCGCGGAAAGTGTGCCGTAATTTGCTGTCTGAGGATATCGATCACCGCCTCACCGCCGGGCCAACTGCAAAGAGTATGGAGTTTTCAGCCTGTTCACTTTCTCGACAGCCGTCTTGCTGGAGTGCCCAGTGCTCCCACATCTAGAGCTGACTCGTGAGATGCTGTTTGAAGCCCGCAAGCACAAAGAAGAACGAGTCAGAAGGAGTGCTGTTGAGTGGGTGGCATAGCTTCCGTCCCAGCTTCGGGTTCGTGAAAAGACCACGCACCAGTATACAACAGAAACAACGCACGAATAATCGGCGCACAAAGCTACCTTCCCAGCATGAGTTTGTGAACAGCCCCAGCACCAACTGGAGCAAAAGACGGAAAAAACCCAGCATAGCTCCCTTCTCAGCACGAGCTTGTGAACAGCCCAAGCACCAAAGCTCTTGAGAATCCGACATGCGCCCCAAAATGGCGCCGATGCTCCGAAGATCCACCTGGCAGGCGTGGTCGTACTTAATCATCCTGGCAGGTCCAGAAGGCATATGATCGTCGCTGATAGTATTGACCTGAAAGCATTCCGAACTCTACCACTGGTAAGTAATACTGGGAATGGCCCTAGAAGTCCGAATAAACTAACATGCAGGAGGGCAGTGCAACGGTGCGCAAACATCGTGCTAGGTCTCTCGACAGTTAAATATCTGGCGGGCTCCACGTGCTCGTTGTGTGGGCACGGTAAGCCATAGCAGAGGTATCTCTGGCCTCAGAGACAAACACTCCAGTCTTTACGCTTCGACATCTGCAACCAGGCGAAGTTTGACACACTGCGGGCATGCAAAGGTTGAGGAAGCGGCCAATTGCCCGATCCGCAGCGCTGCTGTCATCACTCGGGCGCGAGTAAGTCGTCAATTTGAAAAGCGGCTCCAGAATGTCACCGACGGAACCTCAAAGAGATACAGATCTGGCAGGTAGTGAAGCCGGTCCATTCAAGACTTCACAAGGCAACGCCTCAAAGCAGTGGCACGGCTGAACGGCTGAACTCAAGGCTCTCTCTCTCTCTCGCGCGAGCTCGCCCGCGAGGGGAGGGGAGGCTTCGGCTTTCGAGGATTCGACATGCGACACCGCCTCTGCGGGCTGTGCTCTCACAGCCTCACAGCATTCACACGCCGATGGCCAGAACAAATTGCACCCCCTGTGGCATCCGATCTCACAACGGACACACACTGAGCCGATGCT